TATGACGTACCACAGGCAAATAGATGTAAATTTGTGAAAGAGACACTGCCAGTAACCTCAGGAGCTTATACTGCTAACTACAAAGCCTGGAAGCACACGTCTACCCCTCGACTAGACAGACCCTATAAAACAATACGTGAAACCGCGACCGGATATGAAATGGTGATCAAAAATCGAAATGGGACCAAATATAAGACGATCACTCGTGAACAATACGAAAAAGAAATAGAGAAAAAGAACAGGGGAAATAACAATAACAACAGTAAATAAACTACAACAAACTTAACGAACAGATAAAAGAAAATGACTAGAATAGATCGGACTAGAATAAGGCACCCCAAGGGGGCGGTAATCAAAGAAAGACACTTGGTATTATTATTTTTTTATTATTATTATTATTTTGATTGCATTATATCGAGGAAAGTTTAATGAAATTCGTACGTGGTGCGATTTAGTTTTAAGATTGATCAGGAATAATTGAATGGTTGAGCATAGAAGTTATGGATTAACGCTTGCAGCATTGCCAAAGGCAAAATGATTTTTGTATTGATGATTCTTGTTGTATGAGTTCAGCAGTAAGACTTTTATGTTTCGGAAAATTATTTTAAGCATGAACGCGATAACAGTACAATTTGTTTTCTTTTAGATGATTTTATGATTTTATGATTTTATGATTTGAACAATGTGATCTAAGGCTTAAGGGAAATCAGTACAATTGCAACCCAGAAGACTGCTATGATTTAAAACAATGTAGAGGAATAAAGAAAAAAAAATCAGGGTTTAATTATATAAAAAAAAAGAGAAAAACGATCATTTGTATCTTTTTCCTTTTTTTACGTAGAAAGGAGAGGATGTAAGGAACCAGCCAGCAAAATTTAAATTTATAATTATCCAACAGAAATACTGATAAAGGCGATAAAACAGACGAGTAAGTACGGCGCTATATGGGGCGACCGTTTAAAACCTCGCGCTACATGAATAACTCCCAGAACGCCGCTAGATGGCTGGAATCGGTCGTGAGGCAAATGTTGCGGCTAAGGTATCAAGAGACCGCCCGCGGCACGGATATTCAGATACCTTGAGTGTACTCGAAGAGTGCACTTCGGACAGCCCTGGTTGTCCGTAGCGAAACTTTTGTACGCGACTAGTAAGTAGCATTTGCTATAGTTCATTCTCGCGATTTTGGGCGCTCCATCCGAGCTGCCAATTAATTAATTTGTTAGTAGCCTGTTGGCTATAGTCGAGTCAATTTAAGTAGCCGTTGGCTATAGTCAAGTCAGTTGCAAGTAGCCTGTTGGCTATAGTCGAGTCAGTTGCAAGTAGCCTGTTGGCTATAGTCGAATCAGTTGCAAGCAACCTGCTGGTTGTAGTAGAATCACATTTGCAAGCAACCTGCTGGTTGTAGTAGAGTGGGGAGGAATCCGAAATTAACCGTTGATTAGCTGCACTTTGGGGTAGGGAGAAATTATTTAAACATGATAATAATTATTATCGCACCCTGCACTAAGGAAAATCGTAAGGGAGAATCGGGGGAAAGTTCCGACAATCAGCCCAGCCCGAGATGGAGAATTGTTTAAACGAGAGACAACAAAAATGTTCAGAAGATAAATGGAAAATTTGGAAAGAATTAGATTGTTGCTAATTTGCTTAATGTTAGTATTAATAATATTTTGCTCATTAATAATTTGTGGTAAAATGTTAATGTATGGAATAATAATAAAGTTCATGATGGGTTGGAGTAATCTCAAGGATGACGATAGTGTCTACTTCGTATAGACCAGTTCTGAGGGATTCTCCTTCCTCTAATTAAAAAGAAACAGAAAATGAAGTTTCCAGTTAAAATTTGAAATGAAATAAGTAACAGATCAATAGGAAAAACCTCGATAAATCCAGAGAGAGAAACTCATTTTGGGCAGTTCATACAGGCTCTGATTGTCGGAAGGAGAAACCGCAACTCCCGAAATTTATCCTGTCGTAGAAATGTTTATACCTGGATTCCGGAAAATCTCGATTAAAGAAAATATAGTTAAAACCTCGAAACAGATAAAACCCGCGAAAACACTTAATACAGATAATTCAGATTTTACGAATTAAGAATTTGACTGAAAATGAATCGCGTAAGCCTCATCAATTAACCCTGGACAACTGAAGCATTCGGCGAATGAGCAGCGGGAATTATTTATTGACGATTTAAATTATTCCAACAAAAGATTCATTAGAACCATTTCATATCCACTCGCGGTTTCGCGTACTGTCTTATAAGGTTTCTCTAGTTGAGGAGTAAACGTGTGCTTCCAGGCTTTGTAATTAGCACCATAAGCCCCTAAGGTTACTGGCAATGTGTCTTTCACAAACTTACATCTATTTGCCTGTGGTAAGTCATAAGAACGGAATGAAACTGGATGAGCCTCCCTAAATTTACGTTGTGTGATTCTGTGGGAATAATTGTGAGGCGACTGATGGCAATTCTAACCGTGATTATTAAGAGAATACTGAGGCTCCACGTTGCCTGAAACTGAAGGGACTATTAATCGAGGATCAGCAACTGAAAAATCAATCGGTATCAACTTTCTCCACTTCATTGGACCGGTCTGAGTACTTGAGGCTGATGAGACTCTACTAGATATGGACTGAACCGAACCTCTTCGTGAATTGTATGAGCTTACAATAGTTTCTGGACTCTGTGGATTCAAAATTTGTTCTTCGAGAACTAGAATAGTTGAAATTCCGTCTTTCTTTTTGTCTTGTCCCGTCAGTTCGTCGATTTCCCTCAATAAGTCTTGTGTCTCTGTATCTAAAACTACTGGTGATTCCTTTTCGGCTAAAACTACTTCAGGGTACAATAACTGTATGTCGATCGTGTCTTCCGGGCTGTCATACAGTCGTTGTTCCTCCGCCGTTAATGGTAGACTAGGGTTCTCCCATTCACCCTCAAATTCGTCCTACCAGCAGGACCTTCTGTTACCTCGGTCACTCTCCATCTTGTTACGGTGAACTAATAAATTAAAAAAAAAAGAAACAAAACAAACAATACAAATTATAACCTGATCTGACCAATTATTCTATGAAAGGTTTGATATCTTGTATGTGCACTAGACATCCTTTTCCCTCATCGTTAACTATCTCATATTCTGCTGGAGAAATATACTTCTGATTGTAAATCCAGGTGTATATTTAGGAGCTAATTTAGAAACGAACTGATCTGGAACAGAGGATAGAGGATACTCCTTCCTACATACTCTGTCTCCAATTTTCGGAATCCAGTCCCTACGTTTTTCGTTATAATACCTGCTCTGGTCTGTAAACGCTCTGGCTAGGTTAGTTTGCACTCTTTCTTTAGCTTCCTCCAATCTAGCGAGTCTTTCCACGTGTTCTGTTCTGATACCGGGTTCTACAACTTCTAAGGATCTTTTAAGAGACTTAGGTTGATCAAGTTCACGACCAAAGTTTAGAAAAGCTGGAATTTGCCGAGTACTTTCGTGCTTTGCCGTGTTGACAGCAAAGGTTAACTCCGATAAGTATTTATCCCATGTGCGATGATCTTCATTGACGAACTGAGCGATCATGGTTTTGAGAACACGATTCATTCTCTCAACTGGATTACATTGGGGTGAGTACGGAGGAGTACGTTGATGTTCAGCCCCATACTCATCAAGTAAAGCTTCGAACGAATTACTAGTAAATTGTCGTCCATTATCTGTGATAATTACCTTCGGGCACCCAATTCATAGAATGATTTGCTCTTTTACCATCTTGACCACAAGATCCGCGTTTGCCTTTTTCAGAGGACGGAGTTCCACCCACTTGGTAAATAAATCCTGTGCCACTACTATATATTCATTCCCCTGCCGGGATCAAGGCATTGGTCCAACAATGTCGATAGACAACATTTTTCATGGTTGAGAAACGTGTTTCGTACCCATTTTTCCCGCTGGATGTTGTTGCGGTGTTTTGTAAGTCTGGCAGTTACGACATCGGCGAACGTAATTCTTTACATCCCCGTGCAACCCTGGGCAGAAATACCGTTGAGTAATTCGAGCAATTGTCTTGACAATCCCAAGATGACCAGCAGTAGGTTCATCATGATTTTCTCTGATTGCCTGTTGTTTCTTTGAAGCTGGTAAGCAGAGTTTCCAAGCCTCTCCCTGTCTACTCAAGTAATCATGTCGATGAAATATGTGCTTATACAGAAGTCCGTTCTTTACTGTATACAGTAAAGTTCTTTACTGTATACAGCTGATCACTGTGCTTGGTACCACTCAACAATAACCAAGGTCATCCCAAATCCGAAAAGACATCCGGATTATAATCCGGATGTCTTTTCGGATTTGGGATGACCTTGGTTATTGTTGAGTGGTACCAAGCACAGTGATCAGCTGGATCAATGGCTACCACATAACCTTCTTTCTCTTCTTCATCATCAGATGAATTTCCAATGTCAATAGGATCTCTTGACAGTGCATCTGCGACTGCATTATAAATTCCTTTCCGGTATTCTATCTCGAAATCATACTGTTGCAAAAATAAATTCCAACGGGCTATCCGCCCTGGTGGGTTCTCAAGAGATTTAATCCATTTTAACGACCGGTGATCAGTGATAACAAGAAACGAATATCCTTCCAGATACATCCTCATCTTCTTAATTCCCCATACGACTGCGAGACATTCCTTCTCTGTCGTCGTATAATTCTTTTCGGGTTTGCTCAATGTACGACTTGCATAAGCAATTACATTTTCTTGATCATTAATCCTCTGAGTCAGTACTACACCTAGCCCTTCATTGCTAGCATCGGTCTGTAGAATAAACCTATGGCTGAAGTCTGGAGATGCAAGTACTGGTGATGGAGTGAGACAATCTCTTAATTTGCTAAATGCATCCTGTTGCTCTTCATTCCATTGCCATTTCTGTGATTTCCTGAGGAGCTGAGTAAGTGGTGTCATGACAGACGAGCAATTAGGAATAAATTTTCTGTACCATGAGATCATGTCTATAAAGCGTCTTAATTCTCTGACATTTCAGGTTCTGAAATCTGCGTGATGGCTTCGACCTTTTCAGGGTCTGGTCTGATACCATTACGTCCAACTATATGTCCTAGATATCGTGTCGCAGTTTGCAAAAATTCGCTCTTTTCTATGTTAATCTGCAACTTAGCATCACCTAACCAACCGAAAACTATCTTCTGATTTGGAACACTTTCATCCAGGCTAGATCCAACTACATAAATGTCGTCAAGGTACGCTCCTACCTTATTCTCAAGTTCTGGTTTAATTACTCTATCTAACAACCTTTGAAAAGTAGCTGGTGCTGACGTAAATCCGAAAGGCATGACCTTGAATTGCTGCAAGCCACGACCAGGTACCGTAAATGCAGTAATTGGCTTACTTGCCTCATCCATTGGCACTTGCCAATACCCATTCTTGAGATTAATTACTGAGATATACTGAGCATTGTGAAACTTGTCCAACATAGTGTTGATGTGTGGCAAACGGTAAGCATCCTTTACCGCCACTTCATTCACCTTCCTATAGTCAACACAGAATCTGTTCTTATTATTTTTTATTTTCACTATTACTACTGGTGAATTCCAAGGACTGTCAGAATCTTCAATGATCCCTTCTGCTTCCATTCTGTCCACTTCTTCCTGCATTATCTTGAGTATTGCTGGATTTTTCGAGGCATATCTGAATTTAATTGGTTCTGTGTTCTCTTTCAGCCTGATAGTATACTTAATCAAGTTCGTTGGTCCTTTTATGTCCTTCAATTTTTCTAGTTCAGTCATAATCTCTGCAATGGCTTCTTCATATCCTCGTTCTGGTGTTCGAGGCTCTAAGTCTTCCCCCCATTCATCTGATATCTCTGCTAATCCGAAACGTTGACCGATGAAGTGTATCAGATTTTCTAGGTTCTGTTTTACTCTTCTCTCAGCCGGTTCTTCATCTATTGGTTCTTCTATCTGATCTGCTTCTGTAATATATCCAATAGTACCAATCTCCTCATCTTCTGATAGATCATCCTGAGGTTCGAAACGCATTGAAAACCCCATTTTCCTCATAATGTCCACTCCGACTATAATGGGTGCACTGAGCTCTTCCATTACGTAGAAAGTACAAAGTGTTGTAACTGGCTGAAAATTAACGATTATTTCGAGTTTGCCACTGATAGGAGTCATGCGACCATCAGCAACTCGGACGGTATGACCTGTCTTCTGTAGTTTTAGTTCTGGATTATTAGTCAAGATCTGTTTGTATGTAGATGGAGATATATACGTCTTGACTGCTCCTGAATCCATCAATCCCAGGTAATTTACTCCATCGATTATGATGTTCATGTAAACCCTGTTATCTGTCAGCAATAATGGCTGATTTGAGGTTCCAGTATATGACAAAGGTACATTCATCAGCTGTTGATTCACCTGGTTCATCGGAATCGGCACTGGTCCATTCCTACATTGCTGTACAGGTGCTGCGTTAGGCTGTAATTCAGTGGAAACTGGTTGATCTACTGGAGGTTGTCGTTCTCGAATCTACTTCAATCTATCTTCTAACCATGGTGGTTTAGAGCAAGTGCAATCTCTAGTCCAGATGTCAAGTGTTCCACATGCTGAACAAAACTTAACCCTTGGGTTTTCGCAATTCCTTGTCTGACGACCCTTTTGCCTGCATTTCCAGCAGTGCTGAGGCCTGTCATACTTTTCAGCTGTGATTGCAGCTACTTCAGTTGCAGAATTTGATTTCTTTTTGCTATCGTCTTTCTTCTGCTTGTTCTTATCGGCTTTTCCAGAGATCTTCACCTCTTGACGAGCATCTCTGTCGAGTTCCAGCACTTCACTCTCATAATCGCTACCCAATGCTATCAAGTCATTTATCGTTCGACAGTAGATCTTTCTGATATGATTTTTATATTCCCATCTTAGATTGAAATATAATCTCTCCAGCTTCTCTTCTTCCGAATATCTGTCATGTCTGCGCATGAGAGTGAGAGCCTCTGTCACGTAGACTCTGATTCTCTCGCCTTCCTTCTGAATACGATCATTCATCTCTCTCTCTAATCTCAGTAAGTGATTTCGAAGTAGAAAATGAGCGTTCAAATCATGAACAAAATCTTGCCAAGAATACCAGAGACGTTTATTGTTTCTGTACCAGAAGATGGCTTCTCCCACCCACATCACTGGGACATTCTCGAGTAAGGTACGATAAGAGATGTGAGAACTCTCCCTCAGCTCTTCTGTCCTCTCCAGGAAGTTTAGAACATTTTCTACCCAATCAAAGGTAACTCTCCACTTCCGGATTAACTCTGCTGTATTCTGTGGCTCCGGATAATCATAACGAGAATGAGGATTCCTGTAATCAAAATCTCGATGTGCTGAATCATGGTGTCTATGCTCTGCATAGCGTGCTCTGAAATGATCCCTTCTGGATCCTCTAGGATCAGATTCCATAGGCTCATACAGTCTTCGTTTTGCCTCTTCCATTATCCTCCATTCTTCATCAAGTCTTCTTTCCTTTTCTGCTAATTTAAAAGTAGTTTGAAAGTAGTTTCTTCCCTTTCAAGACCCTGTTCGAGCGCCAAGTCAGTAATGAATCTTTTTGTTGGAATAATTTAAATTGTTAATAAATAACTCCCGCTGCTCATTCGCCGAATGATTCAGTTGTCCAGGGTTGATTGATGAGGCTTACGCGATTCATTTTCGGTCAAATTCTTAATTTGTAAAATCTGAATTATCTGTACTTCTACTTTCTTTCGAGGTTTTAACTGTTTTCACGAGTTTTATCTGTTTCGAGGTTTTTAACTGAATTTTCTTTTAATCGATATTTTCCGGAATCCAGAGATAAACATTTCTACGACAGGATAAATTTCAGGAGTTGCGGGTTTCCCTTCCGATAATCAGAGCCTGTATGAACCGCCCAAAATGAGTTTCTCTCTCTGGATTTATCGAGGTTTTTCTTAATTATCTGTTTCTTAAATTCATTTCTATTTTTAATTGACGCTTCATTATCTGTTTGTTTTTAATTAAAAAAAGGAGAATCCCTCAGAACTGGTCTATACGGAGTAGACACTATCGTCATCCTCGAGATTACTCCAACCCACCATGAACTTTATTGTTAATCCATAAATTAATATTTTACCACAATTTATTAATGAGCAAAATATTATTGATACTAACATCAAGCAAATTAGCAACAATTCTTCTTTCTAACATTTCCATTTATCTCTTTAAACATTTCTGCTATCCCTTTTAAACCATTCTCTATCTCGGGCTCGGCTGATTGTCGGAACTCTCCTCCGATTCTCCCTTACGATATTTCTCAGTGCAGGGTGTGATAATAATTATTATCATGTCAAATAATTTTCCCCCACCCCAAAGTGCAGCTAATGAATGGTTAATTTCGTATCCCTCCCCACTCTACTACAACCAGCAGGTTGCTTGCAAATTGTGATTCTACTACAACCAGCACGTTGCTTGCGAATGACTCTACTATAGCCAACAGGCTACTTGCAACTGTCTCGACTACACTGAGAAAAAATTCTCTCAAAATTTAGTGTACCTTTTCACCAACGCTGGGACGTAACATGGGGTGTACAAGGAAATAGAGGGAGACACTGGACAAAATGGTATGCCTCACTCAAAAATTCGTATGTGGCACCCTAATTTTTGAGAGGCATGCACTACTTTTTCATGCGTTTCCTCCAGTTTCTCATGTGACCCTTCCGAAAAAATGAGTCTGCAGCATTTCAATTTCTCATTGATGGAGTGCACTGATTTTTAGGGAAGGTTCTTACTAATTTTCAATGGAATTTTTTCTCCGTGTATAGCCGACGGCTACTTAAAATGACTCGACTATAGCCAACAAGCCACCAACAAATTAATTTATTCATTGGCAGCTCGGATGGAGCGCCCAAAATCGCGAGAATGAACTATAGCAAATACTACTTACTAGACTGATGACACCATAAGTTTTTAATTCTCTGGGTGCCCCCACTCCACGTAGTTACCACTTGTAACCATGTCCCCCACTCCTAAAATCAATGTTAAAACTTATGCTGACTTCAGTATAGTCGCGTACAAAAGTTTCGCTCCAGGCAACCGGGGCTGTCCGAAGAGCACTCTTCGAGCACACTCAGAGTATCTGAATATCCGTGCCGCGGTCGGTTTCTTGATACCTTAGCAGCAACATTTCCCTTACGACCGATTTCAGCCATCTAGCGGCGTTCCGGGAGTTATTTGTGTAGCGCGAAGTTTTGAACGGTCGCCCCATATAGCTCCGTACTTACTCGTCTTTTAAATCCTCTTTATCAGTATTTCTGTTAACTAATTATAAATTTAAATTTTACTGGCTGGTTCCTTACAAATGAAAAGAAAACCTGGTGACAACGCTAGAGTGGGGCATGAGCGAAACCAGGAATGAGAGAGACAGCAGCGAATTAGGGAACAGCCGCTGGGGCTTCCGCTGTTGCCAACAGAGGGCGAACGCAATCAACATAGCGTTCGCAAGTCAAGGAATGCTTCGAAGTTGATGATAAGTTGATGACACAAGTCGGACGCTAACCGGTTTCCCTATACGACGTTAGTATTTCCGACAAACCCTTGAGAATTGTCAATAGCTTCACGCTTTTTGCGGACGGACCCTAGAGGTCCATAGTTAGAGTCAATTGTAGACGGGTCCTAGAGATCTGTCATTAGAATCACGGAGGAGCAGGGGGGAGGTCGCGATCGCGAGGGAAAACCGCTCTTGGGGTGGGAACTCTCTCTTATTTTGGAGAACAGCTGATGCTCATTCTCCCACCGAATAATTGATTTTTAGTTTGAGAATTAGTAGTTGAGAATTAGGAAGGAATTGTCACGACACCTGTAATCCGTATCACAAGGCACGATCATACCGACGGAGACTAGAAGGAAATACTCCAGATTAAATTCAATTGTAGAATAATAGGAGTCGATAGTACAGATCAACAAGAGAATTCGGTAATTTGATGAGTCGATAAAAAGAAAGAGAGACCGGCCGGTAAGGCAGAATAAACCAATGGTCGGTAAAACAGAGTTTCAGAGAGAATTGAAATTTGAATAGAAAAATTGGTTTCGGAACAGAAATTTGAATTGAATAATTAAATGGTTATTTTCAGACATAGAAAGGAACAAACTTTCGTATTAGCATTAACAATGTTTACGATGTACTTTGTTTATAAAATGTTTGATGAATTAAAGATTTTGATAATTATTTGTTGCATAATAAAGAAAGTGAGGGAACAATAATTTCTATGATGAACGATCAGCTGACAATTATTAATTGTCACTATCCACTGAGGGATTTGTTTCCATGAAATTAAATGATTCAGAAAACAAGTAGACAAGTTGAGATGAATAGTTATTAAACGAGAGATAATTAGATCAGAAAATGAGACGTTTTGCGAAATGAGAAATTTTAAGAAGAGCGAGTAGAATCAGATTCCCTCAGAATTCCGCGAATGAGTAGTTCCTCCGGAAGTTAGAAAATTTAAGAAAAGAAAGACATTCAAGTATTGGATCGGAAGGGCCTTGAAACTAGAAGGGTTATAATTTTGGGGTCTCTGTGGGTGATCGCATCCGGGATAGCAGGTTAGCGACAACGCAAAGACAAGAAATTAGGGACTCGACGTTGATTGGACCTCGACTGATCCACCCACGAGAAATAGACAAAGTCCAGCGTGGGACCCAGGGAGATACTGAACACCAGGGAGCAAGACAAACGTAAGGAAATGGAGGACTCGAGAAATTCTGGGAAACTGAGGGATCGCGAAGAAAAAAGACTTGGAAATTTGGAAAGAAACTTAGAGACAAGAGATTTTAAAAGAGAGTCGGATTTAGAAAAGGAAAAGAAATTTTTAATTGGCGAACGCGTTGAACTTATGCTCTTATCCTTAATAACTCGTGCCCTGGACACTGAGCAACGGGCAACACAGGATTAACATAGGGGAATTTTCTAAACGTTTAAGGAATTTTCTAAACGTTTAAGTTCGTTACTTATCTGAATTTCGAGGTTTTTCTTTCATCGAGGTTTTAACTGTTTATCGGCATTTCGAGGGTTTTCTTTTATAGAGGTTTCAACTGTTTATCTGAATCTTTCGAGGTTTTAACTGTTTAACTGATTTTTCGGTATCCACAAGATTCTATTCCTACGACAGGGTAAATTTCGGGAGCCGCCGGTTTTCCTTCCGACAATCATAGCCTGTATATATCGCCCAGAATAGATCTCCATTTGGATATTACGATTTTTGCAAAGGTTTTCTTATTTATCTGTTCTAATTCATTTCTAGTTTCTTATAACTGAGGTTTTGCCTTGCTTTTCGAGGTTTTTCTGATTAATGACTCGAATTACTAGTTCATTATGACTGTTACTGATTCCTTAATTAGAGAAAGGAGAATCCCTCAGAATTGGTCTGTACTTTTCAGACACTATCACCATCCTTGAGATTCCTCCGATCCACTGAAATCTTTATTATTAAAACATACATAAATAATTTGCCACATATCAAAATCACATTAAACATTAATAAAATTACGATAAAACAAATTATCAGCAATTTAACTCTTTGCAAACATTGCTCCATTACGGGCCCGGACAGATTGTCGGAATTTGTCACCCGTTTCTCCCGTGTGATATCTCCTGAAGTGGAACATAATTAAGTATTTTCCCACCCCAGAATTGCTGCTAATTTCGAGTATTCCGGATTCCTTCCCACTCTACTACAACCGGCAGGTTGCTTGCAAAATTTCGATTCTCCTACAACCAACATGAAAAGTTGTCTAATACTTTCATACCCTTGGTGGTATGAGAGTTGTAATGAATTAGATTAAGAATGAATGATAACACTGGTATTTTGGGAAAAAGCCTTTCGGCATAAAAAACCCAATTTATTGTCAATTACAGTTCGATTATCCGACTGCGACTGATGTCTTTCTCCCACACACATGCACACACACAAAGGAGATTGAAGTTCTCGCTTCCGGGCCTTAAGCTACTTAAAACATGAACATTTATTATATTGGGTAACGTTATCAGGTGCAATTGAGGAATTTGCGTTCTGGGGATCGTGGCTTCTGTGCCACGTGGAGACACAAAAATTGTGGGATTTTGTGCCGGTGGGGTTTGTGTTGATAGTGGGAGGTTACGGTCGCCTTGCCGTAAGTTTTTCACCACTAGTGCACTAGTTTTATTGGTTGTGGTTTTATTAGAATCATTTTGATTTTATTCGGTTTAGATTTGAGGTGATGATAATGGGTTTAGTTAAATTTTTATGATGGAAGGTTTTGTTTGGTTCTCACCAACGTGTTTCCGTTAGCTGACCATAAACTTATTTCTCTAAGAGAAATCGGCTCCCGATTGGCACGCGCACATGCAGCGACGCCAACCGAATCCGCGAGATGCCGTCACCGTCGGTTGTCGACGCATGTGCGCGTGTCTTACAAGTGTTATAACGGAACACAACATGTTG